ATCTCCAGAAATCAATTTAAAGGGTAATAAAATAATTGCTAATGTAATATTGTCCCTTTAATTATTATAAAAACACAAAATAAGTATAAATAGGTATTTATATTTGTTTACAAGCTGTTTAGATTGACAAAAAGCCTGTGTTTTTAGGGTTATTAACAAAGTTTGTGTACTCATACCAGTAATACTTGGGGTCACAAGTTTTTGCCATGGYTATTTTGTGGGTCAGAAGATAAAATGTTTGGGAACCACTGCTGTACAGGATCCTCTGATATTTTAGAAAGTCTACTGTTTGCCTCCAGGATGTTAGGGCTTTAAGCGGGTGACATRATCCAGTCTGTGAAGCATCAGCAGCTCATCTTTTGGACAAATCCCACCGTCACAAACCTCCTACACCAGTCAAGTGTCAGATGAATTCTAAAATAAGAAATGATATGAAAGAACAATAAAAGATAACTCAACTACGCTAAAACCCAGATACAGGCCTGCTGCGATAAGCAATAAATCAATTAATCGCATGATAAACTGGAAGCACTCGGAGAGTGCAAACCTCGGCCAAGACCAATTTCCTCCATCCTGTAAGAGTTAATGCACAAAAGCAGAGATGGAAACACATTTGCCGAGTAAGTTCTGACGTAGCGAACATTTAAGCAGCAGTATGCACGGGATTTATTCTCTGTCGAGTCCAACGTGAAAAAATAAAATAAAGTCAGACTCGTCACCCGACGTTATTCATCATCAAACTGGTGTGGGATTAAGCTCCTAAGTTTTCATCAGTCACATTTCACCATGTAAAACATCAGTTTTATCTGCTTGTATGAGTTTGTAATGGTTTGACTCTCTTTATAAAGTGCTTCCTGGCTCCCCCCATCTCCAAACTTTGATGCTCGGCAGCTCTCTGTTTACAAGCCTAGTAGAGAAAAACTGTTTTCATGGGTTGTTTCAGAAATGTGGTGTGTTTGAGGAAATGGGAAAAATAGGTTTCATGGTGCAGTCACGCACTTCCTGGTCACAAAACGTTCTGTAAATGCGCGTATTATGGCAAAAATTATTCATCATTAAATGTGGTTTTAACATTACTTTTATAAAGTTTGAAGTCCGTGCTGTCCAATCCAGCTCACTGTTTTTTACAGAAGCCCTGTGAAAGCATCACAGCTTTGCCAATCTCAGAGTGTTAAAAAGAAAAAAAATTCCTGTATCCGCATCGTGACCCGGAACATCACCAAAATTTAAAGGCGTGTTCCTTGGCCCAGTACCCACATGTGGTAAAAATGTCATGACAATCCYTCCACAAGTTTTTGAGTAATGTTGTCCACAGAGAGAACAACAGAACGACAGACAGACATACGCGACCGAAAACATTACCTCGCCCTTGGCGGAGGTAATTAAAATGAGTTTGATKATTTTCATTTATCGTATCGCCATCTTTTATACTCCTTAGCGTAGGGAGGAGTGAACACTGGCATCGGGTATTTACCAGGTGCGTGGTRTCTAACGTCTGTATGGGAGCCCTGTGGTTGGGCATTTAGCTACAGGAGCAACTTTGGTTTTGAAGACGCCTCGGGACACTGTGCCGAACCTTGAGTCTGCAGAGACTTGTTTCTTTTTACACTTCGTAAATTTAATAAATTTCCAGAAACTTCAGGTGACTAAAGTTATTCAATGAAACCAGAGGAAGACATAAAGAATAAACTGCGCCGGCTTGGATTGAGGTACGTAAATTTCATAAACTTCCATAAGCTGTGTAAGTGTGTCTGTTTTATCAGTATATTAGTTTAAAATGGTTTCCAGACAATATTGTAAAGGGTGTTCCGATACGACACCAATATTGCAACCTTGAGTTTTGGTTGATACCGATATCAACCCAATACGATATCAGAARGAATCCTACGTACTTTTATCACCTTTTGTTTATTGTGGAACCTTATAAAGTCTTGATCAGGTCAAACAGTAAACAATAGTCAAGACCAATATGAGAAAGACTGGTCCCATTTATTATTAACCAATGAGTTACATATTTTTTCTAACTCAAACATAAGAATATTGCGCAACTAAATATGAAAAATCAATAATAAAATGGAAGACCCTGAAAAATAACCTCAATAAATCCAATAAAAACTAAATATACTTTTAATATGTAAAATAACAATTCAAGGTCACTTAAGTTATTTATGCTGGATATAAACACTGCGGGACAGAAATCCTGAGTGGACTACTGGCACTTTTAGATGCAAACCCATATAATACGATTTTTATTTTTTGGCCAGTATCGGACCGATTTTTGATAGATTGGGACAACCCTAAATATTATCGTTTATCGCGATAATTTCTGACACATTTTATCCTGCAGTAAAATTCCTTAATGTGTCAGTCCTGCGCTGATAGCTAACAACTGTTCACTGAAGAAATTTATACGCACAGGGTGTTCAAGTGTTCCAGCAAGCTTTTGCKACATAAATCAACTTGAAAGCTTAAACAAAAGAAAAAAAACTCATTTCACCCAAACTGTCAGGAAAAATCTAAACTAAGACCAAAAGCTAAAAAAAAGAAACTGCCAGCTAACGTCACAGCAGCGAGCACCGAGCCTGGAAAACTTGGAACATGGCAGATGGAGAAATTCAGTTTGACAGATCCARGGCGCCGGGCTGCAGTTCCAACGGGACAAATCCCTTTGAGTTGTGCAGGTGTGTGTTCAAAGTCAGATCATAGGAGCAACACAAAACACTTCTTGGAGAAGTGCAGCTGCATGCAACAACATCTCTCTCTCTCTCTCTCTCTCTCTCACACACACACACACACACATTTGCACAGCTATACATTTGGGAACATTCCATTGACTTCCATTACATTTCAACAGCCTAACCCTGACAGCAAACCCTAAGGCTAACCTCACCTGACCCTAAAACTAACCGAAACTCAATTCACACCTTGGTCCTAAACCCAACCTTCAACCCACCAATGGCATTTAAACCAAACGGGGACTCGACTTTTGTCCCCAAATGCACCAGTTGTCCCCAAAGGTAGGCATTTGGTCTTAAAATTGCCCCCAAATGTCACCAAAAACAAACACACACACACACACACACACACACACACACACACATATACACACACACTGATTCTGCTTTCTTACCTTTCTCCACTGTTGTCACTCCCATGGACGGCTGCCCTAAACTGCCTTTAGTCTCCCATTTGCCCTCGTCAGGGTGGTACATTTCCACAGAGGCCAGGGGTGTCTGCTGCTGATTCATGCCCCCCAGCACCATCACCTGGCCCCCCAGCGCCACAGCCGAAGCCCCCGCTCGTGCGGTGGGTAAGGGCGGCAGCTGGCTCCACYTCTGGCTCTCCACGTCCAGGACTTCCACGCTGTCCAGGGGCACGCCGGTCTCGCTGCAGCCCCCCAGCACGTAGATCAGGCCCTCGTGGTGGACGGGCGCGCAGTAGACGCGGCGCTGCGACATGGGGGGGAACTGCTCCCAGCGCAGGGACTTGACAGGACTCACCGCCATCTCCTGCACAGGCATGTCTCCGGGGCCGAGAGGAGAGGACGCACCATGACACGGCGGGCAGCAGGGAGGACAGGAGCGGGATGGGGCGAGGGAGCGAGGGTCACGGCAAAGCTGAAAAGCACAAGCTTGTTTTTATCAGGCTTGAGTGACCAGCTGACCTCCGGCACCCACCGGGGGAACAGAACGTGGGACGGGCRGAGGAGTCGTGGCGAGTGAGCAGAATAAGAAAAGAAGGAGAATCCCACTTCTCAGCCAGATGTCACGACTTCCTGTCTGTTCAAATATTTAATACATCCGTTTTTTTGTTTGTTTTTTTGGGGGGTTTTTTCGAGCAGGGATACCATCTGCCCTTCTGTTTCTTCTATTCCTGCCTCTTCAAGCCTCGTGTCTCTATTGCTGCTTCCTTTTAATTAGCTACTTTTGTCAAATGTTTGGCTTTATCCTTAAAAACCGTTGGCAAAAAAAAAAAGGAAAAAGATGCCTGAGGAAGATGCATATCCATCAAAAACTGCAAAGTAAAAAACAGAGCATGGAAACAAACAAAAAGGAAAAGAAGAGAGATAGCACCAGACTCGAAACAAGACTGGTTAAAGAAAAATGCCCGTCTCTTTTGCCCCGATAATGCAAGAGGAAGTCTTTATGGCAGAGGGTTTTATAGCTCCAGACAAAACCATTTGTTCAAGGCAACAAGTTCTCGTCGGCCGAAGCTCTTCAGTTTGATTTGCACCCAAGTAATGGAGCCATCAGTGGGAAAAGGAAAAAGTCTTTCAATAAAAAAACTACCAGAGTTTAATCGCTGCAAGGCTTCTTTGCATTTTCATAATTAAGTTTTTTTTTAATTCAAGGTGAATGTAAAATCCCTGTGCCTCACTGTGACTTGTTGTGAAACACTTGTGAATGCCGTACCTCACAGTCTGCTGTAGCTTCAGAGGAGACGAGTCTCTCTTGTTAAAACCCAACCTGGAAAAAAAAGACAAGAAAATAAAATGAATTTAGGCACAAATTGATCTGGATTTTCTCATTTTTTTCTTTTTAATCCCAATAAA